ACCCTACCCATCCGCCAGCCTAGCCCGTGGGGTACGTTATATTATAAGTGTGTATTACCTGCTTATCCTTAATAGCTATACCGTGTCCGCCGGGCTCGTGCACGGCTCGGGCTCGTGCACGAATTTCAGACATCTCAAACTCACAAAAAAGATTATAACGTGTTTCACAAGCGAGCGCCGCACCCAACTGAGCGCCGCACTTTCAACAACAGAACGCCTGCGCAGCGCTATATCACAACACAACACAAATAAATAATTGTTTACAGGCCTAGATAGTATTATTTAGAAGCTTTACTATTATCTATGTCCTCTATTTCTACCTTGCAAGTATAGGAATTATGTCTAATCTTACTATAATGCCTAAAGTATTGTCTAACACGCACCCTCTTTACAGGTATCTTACCCTTACTATAACCCCTACCCTCCTTTTTAGTAATTAAGTTAGCTACTTTACTAACTATAAGGGTCTCCTCTACGCGTGTATATTATTGCTTATAGGTCTTACACTTTATAGACACTTCTACAGTGTCTTAAAGGCAGCCTATTTCCTCCTGCATTAACACTATATTATAAGCTATCTACTAAGCGCCCTTTGCTAACTATTTAACCTACTTATCTAATAAACTTGCTAGAGACCCTTAATAGATTTAAATCTTCTTTTAAATTAGAGTTAACTGCTCCTCTACTTTGTAAGCAGTGTGTGGTGTCTTTAGCTCCTAGGCAATATTGCTAGGTTTTAGTGGCGTTAGCGTGCATAGGCGCATATTAAGCTTTAATAACACCACCTCTAGGTTGTGTAGGACTAGCCTAGCACCTCTAAAGCCTACGCGAATGTTCTCTCTAGTAAACGCCTTACTAAACACTAATTTAAAGGCTAGCAGGAAGGTTTCCTTGTTAATATAGTAGATGCAACTGCGTGCTAAGGCCGAAACCTTATCGCTATACAGGCGCTTTAGTGGCGAGAAGCAGGCGACGTTAAGTGGCTGCAACAGGTGCGACAAGTGCAGGGGCATACAGAGAGTAATTATCTTCTTCTCTCTGCAGAGATCTTAAAAAGCTACTAAGCAGTAGCTCTTATAGCTATTAATAATAAGTAGCTAGTAGACCCTAACTAGCTTTGCATGCGTATTAAAGTAGTAGAGCTAGGTAAGCGCTAGATTATTATTAGTCTAGCTAGTAGGACTAATATTAATAACCTAGTCCTATAGGAGGTCCTTAGTAAACTAGTTAGAGATAAGAACCTTGCCTGTAAGGATAAGGAATAGTAGGATAACCTTCCCTATTAACCTAACGCCTTGTACTAGGGTAACCTACTTATAATTACTAGGTTAGATCTTCTTCTACTTCCTAGGCTTCTCTAAGCCTGTTACTACTAGCTATAACAAGATCTTGCTAATTAGGAAGCTAGACTTATTAAAGTTGTACACATCCTTGTCTATAATACTATACTTCGCCTTTATAGACTGAACAAGCGTGAACTAGGGCTAGATAACTGCTAGGTCCTTGCAGGCAGCCCGCTGGCGATTGTATAGGCGGGTCCACTGCTTCTAGAGCTCTGGTGTACGCTTTACTAAGTTGTTAACCTAGTTCTTGCCAACAGGCTTTGCGCTGCGCTCTCTTAGCAGTTTATCTGCCATATCTTGTACGTCTGCTTTTAAGGAGGGTAGGCCACACGCAGATTCTTTAAGTATACATAGTATAACTGCCTCCTCTTCTAGCTTTGTAAGGCGCTTTGCATTTAGCTTGCAGTCGCGTTAAGAGCGTATTCTGTTGCATTAGTATTAGATTATTTGTTTAGGCACTTTATAGACTTTCTTAGCGCGTTAGATACTTTAAATTTAGTTTCTTAAGATATTAGATATAGCAAGCTGTACATCAGCTTCAGTATAGAGTGTAGGAGCTTGTTGTGGTTGAGACATTACGCGCTGTTGTTGCGCCGGCGTTCTGGCAGCGAGAGTGCGGCGCTTGGTTGGGTGCGGCGCTCGCTTGTGAAACACGTTATAAGTTAATAACAAGCATAAATTATAACGTACCCCACGGGCGAACGACTCAACGGGCGAGCGACTCACTTTTGCCAAGCCCACACCAAACCTCACCCCATTATGGCCTCTATCAGCCCACTTCGGCGCTGCGCAGGGTAGAACAACCTGTAATATTACTTAGAAACTACTTCTACATTATTCTTGCATATTTGCGTGTTATGTCTAGTCTTGTTGCACTATCTACAGCGCCTTTAGGTTAGCTTAGCCCTATCAGCGCGCACTTACTTCTTTACCTTCTTCCTATTACTACACGCCCTAAACTCCTTTAGAGTTGTTAATTATAGGCTATCCTTAACTATTAGGGTCCCTTCTACCTAGACTTACTTTCTCTTGTGCAATTTCTAGCGTGTAGTAGCCTTGTTAGCTGTTTTAAGCTTAGTAATCTGTTTCTCTGTAAGCACAAGCTTGTGCGTGACTATTACTGCGCCCTTAATATAATGCTTAAGCGCGCTTATTGTAGAATTTAGTAAGCTACCCTAGTATTTCTAGAACTTGTCTTAAATTAGAGTAGATTATAACCTAAATTCTAGGGTATTGCTTAGGGTTTGTAACTGCTAGGGCTCTTTATTAATAGGGAGTTGTAGTGATAGAGTGTGCAGCTTTATATTAAGGCTGCTTATAACCTATTCTAGGTTAAACAGAACTAGTCTAGCGCCTTAGAACCCTCCCTAGATATTACTAGTAGTAATTACAGCGTTGTAGGCGCGTATAAAGTATGGCAGGAACTTAGTCTTTGTAATGTGGTTAATCTAGCAGCGCATAAGGTTGTTAGCTTAGCGCCTATACGCCTGCTTTAAAGGGGCAAAACAGCCTACATTAAGCAGCTGTAGAAGGTGTAATAAGTGTGGAGGCATACATAAGGTAATAATCTTGTTATTCCTGCAGTATTGCTAGAATTTAAGTAAGTTATAGCTCTTATAACTGTTAATAACTAGCAGACAGTAGGTCCTAATAGTACACTCCTTTGTATACGCGTTAAAGTGCTTTAACCACTCTAGACTAAGCTTATTAGTAGTCTAGCTATTCTTAGAGACTATAATAACCTAGTCTTAGGGCAGACCCTCCTCTTTATACTAGGAAGAGAGGTAATATCGCGCCTTGAAGATAATAAAGGGTGGTATGGCCTAGCCTGCCCTATTAATGCCCTAGATGACTGTTGTCTACTCCTAGTTGCCCTGTTAAATAGACTTTAGCTGTCTACAACACTCTGAGCCTGTAACAACTGCTCCTGTGGATATCTAGCCTATTATAAAGCCTGTCTTGTTAAAGTTGTACATGTCTTTATCTAGGATGCTATACTTGGCTTTAGTATTCTCTACAAGCTAGAACTAGCCCTGTATAATCTCTAGATCCTCACAGAGGGCTTGCTTGTAGTTGTACTTGCAATTAAACCTCACTTTAAGCTCTAGTTAACGCTTAACAAACGTACTAGGCTAGTTTACGCTAACATAGCCTAGATTGCGCTTAGCGCGCAAAGAATTGGCCATATCAGCTATAGCTGCAAGCTAAGGGGGAAATCCTCGCGCAGCTAGCTGAAGGATGTGATTAACAATCACCTGCTCCTTATTCTTGTCTAGGTTCTGTAAGTTAGGTGCAGAATTAGCGCGTGAAGGTTGTCCAGCGTGTTGTTTGTTTAGTGTAGCTTGAGGAACCTTATAGATAGCTGCAGCGCGCTGCTTAGAGAGATTCGCGTCTTGTTTGAGAGCCTGGAGCGCAAGCTGTATCTGACGTTCTTTTGACGCGTCTAAGTGGTGTTGTTAAGAAGGCATTGGTGTAGGAAGGGTGGTTTGGTGGGGGCTTGGCAAAAGTGAGTCGCTCGCCCGTTGAGTCGTTCGCCCGTGGGGTACGTTAAGTCTTTATATAAGTGTTAAAGTACTTTAGCTACTCTACTTCTAGCTTATTATTTATCTAGCTATTTTTACTAACTTTAATTACCTAGTTATATAGGATCTCTACTTCCTTATACTAGGTAGATAGATAATACTAGCTAGCAAAGATAAGGAATAGTAGTACTAACTAGCTAGTAATATTAATTGTAGTAATTAACGTCACCTACTTGTAATTGCCTAGCTAAATAGCCTTTAGCTAACCTCTCCTCTCTAACCCTGTTATAATTAGCTAGGATATAATCTTGCCTATTATAAAGCCTGCCTTATTAAAGTTGTAGATGTTATTATTGTATATGCTGTACCTAGCCTTTGTCTGCTCTATAAGCTTAAACTATAGACTAATTAGGGCTAGATCCTTGCATAGAGCTCTCTGTCTATTGTACGCTTAATTAAAACGTGTTGTGAGACTGTCTGTACGCTTAACAAAGGTAGATAGCTAGTTAACTCCTACACATCCTCTGCTGCGCGCAGTGAGCAGCTTATCAGCCATATCACGTACAGCTGCGTACGTAGGCGCAAATCCACGTTAGTCTAGATCCAATATATAGCAGATAATCACCTGCTCCTCTGGCTTAGTAAGCTTCTTTAAGTTAGGCTAGTAATTGCATTAGGCAGGTATACTAGCGCGTTGGCGGCGGATTGTTCGTTCAGACACGCTAAAGATAGTAGCAGCCCTGCAATTGCTCTGTATTTGATGGGAACTGATAGAGGAGATAGTAAGCTGAACGTCTGCTTCATTTGAAGCTAATAGAGTAGCGCTGCGTTGAGCCATTGTACGTTGAGATGAGAGAGATGCGCAAGTTTGGTGGGGTGCGGCGCTCGCCCGTGTGCGGCGCTCGCCTGTGGAATACGTTATGGGTGATTTTCGAAATACCATGTAACTTACATCATGTGATTTAGCGCGCGGAAGATGCGGACAATGTCAATGTTGCTGTCTCAGCCAAATTTAGCGTTTAATGACAAATGAGCTGGCTGCTGCTCCTTCTAGGATAATTGAAGCTTGATATTATTAGTATCTTGACTTTTTGTAGTGTTGTGATGCCTACAAGAAGGTCAACTTAGCAGAAAATCAATAAGCCAGCACCCAAATTAACACAGGAGGCACCCACACCTACAACACCAGCAGCATCTAGTAAGCGTCAGCGCATTGTAACTCAGCCATTTGAACAAGGCGTCAACCTGATTACTCCGCCCTCAACAGTGAGGCAACCTTCACAGCGACCCTCTGCCAGCCAAGCCAGTGAGGCTGAGATGTTATTTGTGCGCGAGGACTCTCCTGTTGGAGGTGAGGATAATAACAATGCCAGACAAGATAATAAGGCTAATCTGAACCTAGAGGTTGACGCAGATGCTGAGGCCTTTGGTGACGCTGATGGAGAGGCTGTTGTTGAGGTTGTGGCGGCTGGGAGGTCGCTAGTTGGAGCCTTCTTAGAGGAGGAGCATAAGGTACTTGCCACAGTGAGGTACTGCGTGTCTTACAGCAATATTAAGAAGAATCCTATCCACTCTGCAGCTAATACCTTCGCTGATTACAAGGTTAATTAGCTTACTATGATAGGCCTCTGGCAGTGGGTTGACGAGGTAATTAACAGCTAGGTCACCTAGCGCGTTAACGTCTAACTAGTCTTATTGTTAGCAGAACTGTGGCATGGCAGAGGTACTAATAAGCGCGACAGACCTGTAAAACGCCTTTAGAGAGGCTCACTTCTGGACGTAAAAGCGCTGAAGGACCTCGCGCGATTGATTGATGTTAACACCAGCAAGAGGCTTTGCATAGACGTCAACCTGTACCTTGCCAGAGACCCCATACCCGCGTCTAACGGTGTCGTGCCGCTACCTCCCCGCTCATCGCAGCCGCGAGCTCGCACCGCGACGGTGATACAAGAAGAGGCGTTGGAGGATGTTGTTGCTGCCAATCTCATTGGACAGGGAGCCACGCTCGCTGTGAGGGATACCTGGCAGTGTGAGGATAAAGAGTGTGCTAACTGGACTTAGACTTGCTGGCGGCCGCGTAGTGGCTTACCTGACAAGACGCACTATCCTGTTAATCCAAATATTATCACGATGTGGGCAAAGGCTGTCAACCAGCAACAGTGTACCATCTCTGAGCCCAACAATCACATCAAATCCGCCATAATGAGAGCTCGCGAGCGTAGTGAGATTGATAAAGTGCGCAAGCAGCAGCAGCAGCACGTTGGCGGGTGTGGTGGTGGAGGTGTACTGGATGAGGTGCGAGAGCTCCAAAAATCTGTTCTCATGGCTCAATTGACTCAACTTTCTGGCGGCTTGGCAGCCAATCAGCTAGCTGGCTGGTAGCTATTTGAGTATAAGTTTTGGGCAGAGATTATAGCTCATACTAACAACTTTCTGGAGTACTTCAAGGCTAAATAGGACGTAGAAGGAGCTGAAGATAGCATCTAGAAGATCAGAGATACTGTTATACGTGACGGCCACATCAACATTAACATGTTAATTTAGGGTCGATTGGAATATCTTAAGATGAGATGAACATCTCAACGGTATGGCAGCTTGAGACCCAGACTAGCCAGCTGTCTGCGTTGCAGCCGATCTCTTCGACTTAATCGTCGGCGTGAAACCTGGTCAAATTAGTCTCATCAATCGCTAACTGGGCCTCAACTCGCGAGTGCTTACCTTGTATACCCACGCAATAGTCGTTGTAGCGCTGCATGCCCGAACAAGTATCGTGACATGCGCAAGGCTTGCACTAGGCGCACACGCTACCCAGATGCTATCACGATGAGCAGGCTACAGCAGTTCCTTCGCGAGGTGGCGCAACACGCCGTGAATGTGGTGTCGCATTGGTCATGTTGATTTTGATAAATAGTGATATCGGAATCGTAGAGACCGTTACCGCCAGATCTGAGACCGCCATTGATCCATTGTTCTAAGTCCGAAGATGTTGTCCAAACACATGTACACGGTGTTCGCACTTGCGATCCAGGCATCGTCCGTAGCGGCATATTTGGAGCCACCTCTGACCACTGCAGCCGCGGACACAGTATCAGACTGCTCCAATTGGCATGTTGTAGCCTCTGGGGATACTTGCGATTCCATTGCAAAGGGCTGGTACATCTCCACGGACAATCTCAGGTCTTATGTAAGTCATGAACACCTGAAATAGGCGCAGTTTTAACCATCTCAGAACCCGTCGCTTGAAGTGGATTGAACTGCAGTGAGGTGCATCTTTCTCAACTCTTGCATGCAAAGCTAGTGTCACCGGTGTCCGATTTGATCAACCCACAACTTGTTTGCAACATAGAATCACTTGGAATCAGCCTGCGCATACCATGTAAACTAGTAATTTACCTTCCTAGCTTCGTGTTATATTAACTTTTCGCGTATGTGGACCGAACAAACTCATTCCCCTCGAGGGTTTCGCTCCGCCAACTCCATTACCTGGGCTATTTCCTCTGGCGTTCGTTCGGCAACAGATGCCCGGGCTTTGGAACGATTACTTATGCATTCCATCATGGCCGCGTGTTTTCTTTCGCTCTGCGCCCTCTCTTCAATACTAACATCTTCCATCGCCGTGTACTTGGTGGATGGCGACGAGTCAATTGCGTGACCATACCATGTACCCTGAAAATCTACTATGGGGCCCTGCGACGAAAGATGCCTTACGCGTAGATGATGAAGTTGCGGCGCTTTCGTCAGTATGTCGATGTACCGGTGTTGATTCCACGCATTTCCTGAACGGGCATGATAAAGGTCTAGTTCGCGCAGACTGTGGCCTTGCAATGCCAATATCGTCGAGAGACAATCAGGTATGAAATCCCATGTGAGTCGCAATTTCTCCAGCGCCGGGATGCTGCGGAGAAACTCTTCGAAGATGGGTATTGTCCGTGTCGGCTCGTGCATATCGTGCTGTTTCTCAGCGGAGATGAAAACAGCCAGAGAATGAGTCGCGGGACATGGCCAGCCAGCGAAAGAAACGGAAGCATCGATGTGAGAGGATGATCTCCAAAGTCCAGGACGGGAAGTTGAGTCCAGTCCATGCACCGGCGCCACATGTCCAACTGTTGCTCCGAATACACATAGCGTGTTGAACCGCCCCAGCCCCACTCTTCCAATGCGGGAAACCGATCTCCATCTTGCCAATGGAAGTTCAACGGGCCATTCTCCCAGTCCTGGATGCCGAGGCCAGAGACGGCGCTCCCGTAGAAGTATTTATCTACGTTCTCGAGAGCCAGATGTAGCACTTTGATACTGCTGCCTTGCATCAGACAGCGTTTCAGTATCTGGAGTTCGCTACTGCCTTTGACGACTGGGCAGACGCCGACCAAGTCAAAGTAAACATTCATCCGTAGCGAGTGCAGTTGCGGTGATGATAGCAAAAGTCGATCCAGAGGTTTCCTTTCTCGCAAGCAATTCGTCACATGTAGGCGAGCGGTTGCATGGGTGGTGTGGAAAACATCGAGGACGAGTTCGGGAACAGGAATGTTAGTGTCCCAGCTGGAATTTGTGAGCATATGGTAAATTCACCAGGAATTTCAGTCGTACCTCAGCGATTGCAAGTTGATCAAGCGAGCCAGAACCTTGCCAAGGACGGGGGCGATTATGGAATCGAAAACATCTTGCCGGAGCGTGCCAATCTGGAGATGTCGCACATGCTGCGCAATTGGGCTTTTCCCATCCAGTAGGCACTGCACTAAGCCCTTGGTGGCTCGTCGCAACCTAAAGTCTTCCTGGTGCATCTTACCTGGTACGTTATTGTGCCTTAGATTATTGACTTTTGCTAGTAAAACTGAGTGATCAGCTCATCTGTGAGGTACGTTGATCAATGTTGTAAATCCCGTTAGCTTCCTCTTGTACGATTAATTTAGGATGCCAATGTCTATCTGTTTAGTCGGATTTTGACGCCAATCACAGCCCATTGAATCTTTGCATCCGCAATCTCAATCGCGCAGTACCTCACTCTTCGCTCTGCTCACAGCTATTATCTGCCTGTTGCAGCTAGTGTGGACCTAAGGTAGACTTTTGCCCTATCTATGTAGACAAATGAAACTGAGGAGCAAGTGCTAGCCCTGCTTTGTGGGAACGATGATATATTCACTTAGAGTCTCATGTCTCATATCCACGTATCACGCACCAACCAGCAGGATCCGGATACTAATCAAACTCGCGCATGAACTGTTCAAAGCCAAGGATGCTTGCTGCATCACGGTCAACTATAGGACCATCGTGCGGCGATGCTGAGGCTTGCCCAGGTCCTTCGCTCCCAGACTCAATCTGCAGCGTAGGAAGACAATTAGTCGGGCAAGTTTCGGAACGCACAACGAAACTTTTGCGTGACGACAGAAATCTTTATATGTCATCAGACTTGGTGTAATCCATGATATCGACAGTCGACAGCGAGCCAACCTGCGTTGATAATCCATTTGACGAAGAACCACTCCTGTATCCTTGAGTACTTGGGCGAATCACTGAGCTTGATTTGCTGCTTGCAGTCTCTGAGCTCGGAGATTGCAAGTTGTGACCATCATTCAGAATATTCGTAGAGGAGCCTACCGAAGCACAGTTTAGTTTCGGTGCACGCCGCGTTCCTTGATGTAAACGAGTGACAGTGGGATGCAGCTGCTCGATCTCATCAGCCAACCAATTACAGTAATCTAGGTCGGCTGAAAGAGCACTCTCTTCGGCAAGATTGGTAAGAAGACCCAGGGCTCTACCAAAAACGGCTCTGTGGCTGCGATTAGGCATATCGAAGGGAAGCGAGAGGGTTGCACCTCCCATAAGGCTCAGTGGATCCTGAATATCTGCGAGTATGATATCGCAAGCTGCAGAGCGATTGATCTCCTCGTCTGCGGAAGTTTATGCAGAGATGTCCGACGGTCTTCGTGGTGCTTCCGCTTCAGCCACTGATTGGCAACAGGAAAGAGTGTCAAGTTGGAGCTCGATTGGAGGAAGCACAACGCAAAGTGACTGCTTACGTTCTTTGCATTCGGCATCGGTCAACCAAACATTCTGCCCGACGTCTGTGTAGTGTCAGTGAAAGTATATTATATCGTAACAGACTTCACTTACATGGATTCGGTTTTCAAAGCGCACCTGGATATCATGCCAGATAGAGCCGTGCCCACTGTGCGAGACTCCCATTAAGCCTGTGTCTTAAATTCACACGGTCTCATTTTATGTCTTTCCAATCGTTCCTTGTCAAAATAATCTTCCTTGCAACGTCCACCTCGTTCGAGAAAGTGTATCAGACCGAGGTGGTCTCTCCTTCGGCCGGGTTTAAGGTGTTCGTGGCGGAGCTTTGATACATGACAGGCGCTAAAGCCACCATAAGGGCATTCGGCCAATGTCCCATGCATAAGGTGGTGTTTGTAAATGATACAGTCTAACTTTATCGAGGTGTCGCTTGTTGTGTCATCCGCTTGCTTGACTTGAACGTTGCCTTTGTTGTCTCTCGCGGAGCAAACAGCCTTTCTGACGCGTTTCAATTTATCCGGAGCGATGCTGCAAGAGTTGCTGTGTTTCCTTGTTGGCCTCGCGCCTGTTCGCAACCCATCCTTCGTATGAGCTTTCTGTCCCGCAGAGTGAACTATTTCCGATGGGTCAATGCCTTGTAACTGTACATTTTGACGAAAGAGCTCGAGCACTGGAGCGAACCAACCGTAAGTCTCAGATCTAATAATTGTGTTAGTTTGGGTCTCCGCCCTCTCGGACAAGAACTAACCTTCGACTCTTCGAGACGTCAAGAATTCCTCTCCAACGATTGAAGAACCTCGTCCAAAGCTGCAAGTGTATTCGAGGCTCAAGCTGCGCACTCAGTAGGACAATCAAAAGATGGATGGAAGGTGGCAAGACCCGTGTATCATTCATAAGAATGCACGACCCTAGTCGAGCTTTTGCGGGAAGATTGCTTGTGGCAGTTGAGGTGGACCCGGGCTTATTGCCAATGGATTGTGCTACCGTTCTTGCCACCGGAACTGGTATCTATCTACTTAGTTGGATTTTAACGCTAATGCGTCTCTTACAGTCTGCTAAATCTCTGCATCTGCAATCTTAATCACGTTATACTTTTCATACTCCTTTAGCCTCATTCTTCGCCCTGCCCACAATCAGGTTGGCACATCTCCAGACTGCCCAACTACGACAGTCTCGGAAACAGAAGGCCAGGAAACACTCATCTATGACTACCATTCCTCATCACCTCCTCAAAAGCCCTAATTGGTGGTCTTTGAAGTCGGGGCCTGGGGGGAAGTGGACTGGGTGGCCTAGGCGGATGAGGCCTTCGGCAATGGTGGCGATCATTTCCATGTGGCTTGCGAGGCCACGGTTAGACTTGGTATGGAGGTAGCGAAGTGTCCATCACTCACCTAAGGGCTGGAGTGGAAGCCGTGGCAATCGGGGTTCTGCAACGTGGCAAGTGTGAAGTATATCTGCTAGGTAGCAAGACCGATAGGATGGTTGAGTATTAGGTATACAGGAGGGCAAGAAGCGACAGGAGCCATGCTAGTAAGAACGATCGAGACGGCAAGACGACTGGCTAGAAGGACGGACGCAAAAGATAGTTCGCCGAGATGTCCAAAGTCGAATTTCCCGTTGTTGACGGGTCGGCCTTATGTATACAGGACTTAGGCTGACATGAAAGGGCGCAGAAGAGATAAAGCAAGATAGTACATGGCGGGCGTAGTACTGACATTCTGCCCGTGCGATGTCAGCTTACAGACCAAAGCTTGTTTTGGTGTAGACGTGAACCTAAATCTACGCAAGACACATGTGGCCATCATGAGAAATTGCAGAAAGCCCATCCAAGTGCGCCTGGGATCGTTACGGTAGAGGAATTGACACCCGCGAGAAGAAGATGGAAGGAGTACTCAACACTCAATTCGAATACCATCTACAGATACGCATCATCTTCCTGTCACAATCTCCTCGTTCTTCGTCGCTGTCTTCTGCTTGGCCGCTTCATCCCTCATCTCCTGCTTGATCCTGCTGATGGTGCCTGCACCGCCGTAGATAAGGGCCGTATAGACCTGGGCCACGCTTGCGCCAGCGTCGAGGATCTGGCGTGCCTGGCGACCGTTTGTAATACCACCAGTTGCGAAGATGACCTTGCGCGGTGCATTGGGTGCAGGAGCCGAGTCTGGTGTGGAGTTGATGGTGACGCTCGGGGCGGATTCGGAGAGGTCGTCAAAAGCTGATGAGGGAGCGGGTGTGTCGAGGTCGATGGTCGTCTTTGTCATCGAAGATGAATCTGTAGATTCGGGCTTTGCACTGGCGGACGGAGGCAGTTGCTTTGGCCCAGCGTCGAGCGCCTTCCTGTACTTGCTGACCAATGCGAGGGTGCGCTCAAACATCTGTGGTCCAGAGTATCCTCCTTGCTCCAGAAGAATCTTTGCTTCGTGGGCAGGAAGTTGATAACCTGCGGGAAGAGGGTCAGGCCTCTTCTTCGTCGTGTTACCAACGATGACGCCGTCGACACCGGAGTCCCAGACAGCCTCGACGATGCCGGAAATCTGCTCTTCTGAATCTTCGTCAGGGCTGACCTTCACCATGATGGCAGGCTTGGTCTTTCGGTCAAGCTTGACAACTGCACCCACGACACCGGTCAATAGCCGTGTGAGGGGTTCGGCGTTCTGCAGCGTGCGGAGTCCAGGTGTGTTGGGCGATGAGACATTAACGACGAGAATGTCAGCGTACTTGCCAACGTGTTCGACCGCAGTCGCATAGTCGCGCACGACAGCATCGATGTCGTTCTCAGATGTGGTCTTGTTCTTGGCGACCTGTACGGCCATGAGCCTGCCCTGCTTCAGCGAGCCGGGAGGAACGCCAGCCTCGCCGTTGAGCACTGCTCGTTCCGCCTCTTCACCAAGACCGAAGCCCTCGTAATACGCAAACTCCCTGACACGCTGGCGTAACCTCTGCGCAACGGCCTCGGCGCCCTCGGAGTTGAACCCGTAGCGGTTGATGAGCGCATTCTGGCTGGGCAGCCTGAAGACACGCGGCTTTGGATTCCCTTCTTGTGGGAGCAGTGTGATAGCTCCGACCTCGACCAGACCTGCACCCATCTCCAGCAGCGGCGTAGGGACCTCTGCGCCCTTGTCGATGCCAGCTGATGTCCCAATTGGGTTGGCCAGAGTGTGCCCAAAGACCTCCACCGCGAGGTCGCCCTTGGTGTCGGCGTCGCCTCGCTCTCTAGGGTTCAGGCCGAAGCTGTGGAGAGCTGCAAGCATGCGGGTACCGGCATGGTGCGCGTCTTCGCCGTCGGGGTAGATCTGGCGCAGAGCGGGTACGACAAGCCATTCATGGATGCTCGATCGGGTGTCGGTGGCGTAAAGGTAGCCGAAGGAGAGGCCGGCTGCGAGAAGCGTGCCGTAGACAAAGTTCTTTGTGCGTGTGCCTGCTGACCGAACGTTCTTTGCGGCTTCGTTGGCGGCTATCGTCGCAGATCGTGTGGGATGCGAGAAGGGTCGTTGGGGCAGACGAGCAGGCGCGATTGACGGTCGCACGCGTAGAGCACGCATCGTTGCGGCCGATTTCATCGTAGCAAGCTTGAGCTACAGCTCGGTCGATTGGTGCTGGCAGCGCAATTGCTGGGTGAAGATGTTGAAAGCGTGAGTTGTTGCGGAAACAGCCGCGCTGGTCTCGCTTGGCAAGAACATCTTGGGGTCGCAGTCAGAACTTCGATCTCTCTCCCTGAGCGGTCTCTGCTCCCGTCTACATTCTGCACGTCTGTTGGAGCACTCCGAGAGCCAGGTGCTCCATGTATATCCAAAGCACGATTCGATATTGCGGAAGCGTACAGTAGATCTTGCTCGATGCGAAATCATTCATATGAAATCGAAAGCCATTGGACTGCTTAGAACATCTGATTTTTGTCACATGCGACCTACTTGGACAACCATGCTTTCTGCTACCCGGGAGTCTTCTGTTCGGTTTAGAAATGCTTTAAATCTTCTCAAACCGAGGTCGTCGTTCAAGTTGGCGCCGTTGGCACCTGACCAAAGACGGAAGGCTCGCTGATGGTTCGGGGGTCCGGATCTGATCTATGCCGAGGATGGTGTTCTGTAAGCCCAGGTGTCAGTGTCACAGTCGCCCTTCAGTCAAGGTTCACCCTATTCAACTCCGGTCTCGCGAACTTTTTCCGTATACATCTGACGCTTTCATCCTCGGGAATATCCTACTATCTCCCTGCTGTCGCTTGAAGATCGCTGATTCCCTACTCTGGTTGCTTTGGGTGGTGCTGTCATCCTGAAACCCGCTTCTCACGCGCCTCTGCAACGTCTGAGACGGACACGCAACTACCGCAGCAAAGGCCTGAGGACGGCGAACTGGTCACTCCTGTCGACTAGTGTCTGAAACCCTTGAGCCTGAACAACAGCTGTCACATCGCTATCACTGCCACTCCGGATAAGCTCGGGGTCCCACACAAGTGTCGGCCAGCACGAGCCGTCGACTGATAGTAATACCAAAAAATCGACCGAGCGTGCACGTACGGAATTGTCAAGATGCCTGAGTTTTTCGGTCTGCCACGCGAGTTGCGAGACATGATTTATACATCTGTCATCACGTGGTCACTTCCACAGCCTCGCCGTGAGGATACAGAAGATCACAGATGGCGCCTAATCCTAGAACCCCGGAGCATACACTCCGGCGAATTCGGCTGTTCGTACTCCACAGATACAATTCCAGGCACATGTGCCAACTTGCTCGCATGTAATCGCCAGGTCAACCTTGAGCTTACACAGGCAATCGAAAGAGCTAAGAGGCAAGGACATTTGGTAGCCAAGCTTGACTGTATCTCTGTGGATGAAAGCAAGCATGCCTTTTCATGGCTTTCATTGCCCATCGTAACGAACAAGCCAACCGAACATGGAGGAAAGGCCAACGTCTTAGCATCCTGGGCGGATCGTATACTTCACACACCGCAGAGGATGCTGAATCTAAGTATCAGCAGTAGAAGCCCAAATCCTGGCCGTTCTATCTCAACCACCATCTTGGAGAATATGAGGATCGATGTCCGCATATACGGCAACCGCACTGCGAAGTGGTCGTCGAATCGGTGCCCACCGGAGCGCACATCTTGGGCAGTTTGCGCGGCACTAAAACGGCTCTTCGATGGCGACACGCTTATGCGTCCCATTAATGCTACGACTTCCCCGGGTCCTTCCTCGAATAATATAATTATTGACGAGTTGATCCTCAACGTGGTCTCACCAAATACGCCCAAGAACTTGTGGCTGCCCGAGGACTACCCACTTGATGTTGCGACCTATGGAGTGGTGCATCCACGGACGGTGGCTAAAGAGCTTCTGGACATGTGGAACATCATTTGGACTTGTGAAGAGTTCAAGGGCGCCCACTACCACATACTGCTAGAGCGGATCAAGAGAGTAAAGATCTGCCTTGACGGAGAAACCTGGCGGGTCAGAGAGCTTGGAATGGAGCTGGAGCGAGGACAAGCAGAGCGAAGAAGGATCGCCATGAGGGGTATTTGGTAGATTCTGGCATCGTGTATGGTGCTGCTATTTTGTAGACAAAGACTCAGGCGTGTAGAGCGTCGGTTGAGGTTCAAATAGCGTTCGGGTAGGACGGTTCAAACGGCAGTCTCATCCAGTACCACCGCTGTACCCCACACTTCTAGAAGGAGTTGACCCAGAATTGTATGGAAAACCCTTGTCGTCTATCGATCTGGGGTAACTCAAGCCTTTGAGTCAGAAACGATGGTCGCGTTTGTTCTGACCTCTACGCCACAGACACTCCTCCCTTGCACCAGCAATATTGACCACTGGATCAAATATCTGCTCTTGCACACGACAGTCACACCGATAATAATATCAGCAAGCATATTTGCGCATTTACTTTCTTTCTTCTTTCCTCCGCTCTTTCGTCACACGCTCTGGGCTCGCCCTACCACACACCGCTCCTACGGTACATGTCTCTGCCTCACCGCGGATCAATGACATTTGTCAATCTATTTCGATCGATACTGCGGCCACCAAGCTGCACCTTAACCGTTAAAAACTTCCAAGCTATAATGTCCGGCTGCATGCGCTACAGTACGGTGACCGACTCGAGTGTTCCTGAGTCGGCTACGCTTAGGCTTAATTGTCCGCCCTCTTCAAGCCGCCATGTGGCAGACCTCATTCTGGATGTCGACTCCGACGCCCCCCGATCCATATGGAAATATTGTCTAGGTGGCTGCCGAAGATGGAATTGTTAAATTTCGCTGCAATCGTTCCTATTCGCTGCAATTATGCCAGGGGTGATCTTGGAGGCGCGGCACCGGCTCGGCCCTGCACGAGACTGTTGGCGTCCTGATCGTTTTTGGAACTCGAGACGGAGTCACCTCTTGGCCGTCAACAATGCAATGACCACGCGTCGCCGTCTGCATTTTTGTGCGCGATGTGGGCTCGGTCCGTATGTGCGCGATCGATCTCCGATGCGTCCGCCGGTCGTTCTGCTGTGGGAATCGTAACAACTTGCGCGGCCACTGCGGTGGTGACATGTGTGCCGCATTTTGCACGCTGACAAGCCAAGGCCGCAGAAATGCCAAAGGAGCGTTTCATGAAACATGTGCTGCACCAAAGGGACACCCGCGCATGCCGCCCGTGAATGGTCAGTCGGTGGCTGAGGGATCCACATGCCATTGGCCAGACGTCTGTTACGCAACGCCTTGCTCAGGGGCAAGTCGGCTTGTGTGCAGGGGCAGCATACGGAGTCGCCGTTTGACTGGTGGCTGCGCGAGTCTGACACCGAAGCGGGAGCCCCCGTGGCGTGGTTGTCGGGCATTTTACGAGGCGAGGGATTTTGTGCAGGGTGGTTTTATAAATAAGGAGTGACGAGGCCCGCGAGATCTCCAATTGGAACGCGCCGTCCTCGACTTTCCTTAGTCGTGTGTCTTTCATATTCTTTAACTCTTCATCACGTTCACTGCTACCTAATCGCCAGCAACAAACACTTTTTGATCCGACGTCACCGCATACAAGCTCATTGCTACCTCATCACACTTGCTACCACTGCCGGACAGTGACCACTACTTCTGATTACACCCACACTCGCAATGGCGGCATCATCTGTATCGACGGGTGCCGAAACCCTCAAACCCAGCAACATTGAAATTCCTACCACGGGCAGCACCGCTGCAGCGGAGGATGAAGGTCCCACATCACCGCGTTCATGGCGACATCGAACAGTCACATACCAACCTCCTTCGCGTATTCAGACAACAGGCAGTCTCGATGCCGAGGATTACTTCGTGAGTTTCTGGCTAGCACAAAACAGAAGGATCGTACTGACGCCCTAAGGTCGGCCCTCGTGATATGGCCAAGCACTCGAAGTGGCCCTTCTTCATGCGCATGCACGGTTCCGTGCTGCCAAAGATGCTTATTCCCCTCATCGTCGTCACCCTTTGGTCTACCTTGATTACTTGCCTCTCGAAGTTCCTACACCACCCTCTGAATGTCAGCAGCTTGTTGCTCACCGTTCTCGGTTTCGTTGTCGGTCTCGCGATCTCTTTCCGCACTAGTTCCGCCTATGAGCGATACATGGAGGGCAGAAAATACTGGAGTCAAATTCAACTTGTGAGTCAGAACTTGGCCCGTACCATCTGGATCCACACCGAAGAGCGTGAGGGCGAGTTGGGCAAGCACGATCTCCTGGCCAAGCTGTAAGGTTTTCCAATGCGTCAATGTCGCATCCTCTAACTTAGGATAGTACCGCATTGAATCTTCTTAACGCATACGCATGTGCCATCAAGCACAGACTCCGATTTGAGCCTGGTATTGACTACCCTGACCTCAAGGAGCGCATTGAGTACCTCGATACATTCGCCAAGGCTGCTGAAGTCGACATCCCTAAGGCTCGCGAGTACAGCAAGCTGAAGTCTACCGGAGAATTCCTGGGCGTCACCTTCGCTGAGTCGAACCCCCGCAAGAGGATTAAGCGCTCCAAGAAGCCTCTCGGCAACCTGCCTCTTGAGATTTTGAACCACTTCTCTACGTACGTTCACAGCATCATCAGCAACGAGACCCTCAAGATCGGTCTCTACCAAAACCAAGCTAGTAAGTGCAGATCGAACAGCATTTGTATACCTCGAGAGTTAACGCAGAACAGTCACTGGTGTTGTCGCTCTCAATGAATGCCTTGTCGGTCTCGACCGTGTGCTCAACACTCCCCTTCCCATCGCCTACTCCATTGCCATCTCCCAGATCACCTGGGTCTACGTCATGGTCCTGCCCTTCCAGCTCTTCGCCTCGCTCGAATGGATCACCATCCCCGGAACCATCTTCGCCGCGTACATCATCCTCGGTCTCTCAGCCATCGGTCGCGAAATCGAGAACCCCTTTGGCCACGACGTCAACGATCTGCCACTCGAGGCTTTCTGCGAAGAGTTGGAGATGGACATCGATTGCATCACTGCACAGCCTGCGCCCGTCCCTGCCGAGTTCATGACCCGCGAGGGCAACATGCCCATCTGGCCGCTCAGCTACAAGAGCTTCAGCGGCTGGGCGGCGCGCAGCAAGCAGGACGTTCGCGACGCGCTGCTGACCAAGACCAAGGCGGATATGCAGGTCAGGAGGAGCTTTGCCATCGCGCGGACCGAGAGCAACGATGAGAAGGCGAGCCATAACGTGCAGCAGCTGCACCAGGATGCGCAGGCGTAAGCGGCAACGAGATGAGTGCGGTAGATTGTACGAGGGCATGGAGCGCCGATCAGTCTTTCTCTCTTTTCTGCGTGCATAGCGATGGGTAATGGCGTTTTCGGTTGCCCTGATTTCCTCTTCTCTTTGCGGAGATCCTCCGGCAGAGTCCTGTTATATTATCATAGTGGCGGTTGTGCCTATGTGCATGCGCTCGCATTAGACTCGGTAAAAGTTGTCAATTACTTCGCATGTCGTTTTCGTTATCATTGCTGTTTTCCATCCATGCCTGCTGCATTATCATTCTATTCCGTGTCCGCCCTGACGCCATAGCTTCTGTCCACCCGTATGCCTTGCTGAGGGCGAGCAATTCCTGCCTAGCTGTCATTGTCACCAAAACAGCATCTCGCGTCAGCGCCAGCATAACCTTCCAAAATACGTGTCTCACTTCTCCTGTCTTTTTCCACATCATTTGAGTGCATGATCGCGAGGCCAAAGGCTGCCCCATGCCAACGTGGCCATGATCCGTAGTCGCTACGAAGAATGGCTGGTCTGTGTCGGCACATAGGTGGTGGTACGTTGAACGCACCGCAGGAACATACGATCGAAACAAGCATTGCCCAATCGTCTGAAACCCATACTCCTCGAGCTAGCCAAACCCGGAATCTCAACACTGTTGTGAAAATGTCGAATGGAGGTAAAAACAGCGTTACTGTGGCAAGTGAAGCAGAAGTCGCACCGGTCATGATTGCAGGCATCAGCTTGAATGTGCGCTGCTTTGAAGAGTTCGAGTGTTCGAGCCCCAAGAAGAATGAGCTGTTGACAACTCTCCTGTTCGAAGAGATGGAAACCAACATGGACAGCTCACGTATGTTGATGAGGCAGCGACTGTCGCTCGCATGATATGTGGGAGTGTGAGTGCGTGAATGACGGGGAGTTGTGTTAGTGCGACGGGTGAGGGTGTGATGACGAGATTATAACATAGTTTGGAGGAAGGAAGCTGCAGGCATGACTTCATCTGCAAGTGTGATCTTGGGCCGACAACTACTACTACCGAGTCATACATTCAGTATCTCGTCGCCCGCTTACGCCTTCTGTCTCCGACTCTCGATGAAATCCACAAAGTCAAAGAAGCTCTTCTTGTAGTTTCTAACCTGCGTCGTGCGATTCACAGTCTGAATACCAAAATGTTGATTGAAGTCACCAAATTCCCAGTTATCTGCAAAGCTCCAAGCAAACGCTCCAATAAACTGCACACCATCTTCCCAGATCGCTTTCAACCCCTCGTTCAAGTAATACTGATAGTACTGACTCCTCGGGCTATCGAACAATTGGTCCTTCAACTCCTTCTCTGCCTCACCGAACAATGGTGTACCAAACTCGGTAACAGCAATAGGAGCTTTGAACGTGTTCCACAAGTAGTTGAGATATGAGCGGAAGTATGTAGGCGTAGTGTACACGTATGTCTGGCTGCGGTAGCCGATGTTCCACTGAGTGTCGTGTACTGTTGTACTTTGGGTGACGCAGTAGGGACGCAGTGGGTGTGTGATGTTCGCAGCGCACTCGGCAATCGAACTGTTCGGTGGTGGGCTGACGACTGTAGCAGTGTATGGTTGAATGGAGAAGAAGTCTGCGGTTCCGTTGATGTAGGCGAGATCTGAGGCAGTCAGAGGCACGTAGTCGGCAACCGTCATCTTGTAAGAATCTGGATAATCGATACCCAAGAAGATAGGGTTTGCGAATGTGGCGAGCTGGAGCGAGTTGAAGTGATTGGCAGCGTCGACGTCAGCTGGAACTCCAGGGTCGCGAGGAACTCCGAAGTTGTTATTGAATGTGATTGAGACCTTTCCTGTACCCTTGATCTCCTCATGGTAGAAGTGGTAGAGACGAGCATGGGCCTTGATGATCGTGTTGATGGATTTGCCGTTCTTCGCGCCGATGAATGGCTCATTGAAGGTCCAGAAGATTGGAACCCGATCGGCAAAGTGCGTCATGACGATCTTGGCATAATTGACGAAGGCGTCTTCATACGATACATTTTCGTAGGAATTCTGGAAGCCCGCATCCACATAGCCAATGCCACCGGTATTGGGAGTGAGAAGAGTGTCCGAGATGTTCAAGTAGAACTGAAGTGGAGAGTCGGTATGAAGTAGCATAATTGCTGGCAGCATGCCCTTTTCCAAGATGAAGTTGATGAGGTCGTCATAGTGGTCCAGACCTTGCTTGTTGACAGGCGTTCCGGGCAGCACAAATGGTAAGATGCGTGACCATGGTATTGAGAATCGGTAGTATTTGATCCCCATCGAAGCAATCCGTTCAATGTCTTGCTTGTACAGGTAGTAATTCTCGTTCGTGATCAGATTTGGCGCAGATCCGGGATTAACGAGGTAAGATACGTCGGTGTACGCTGGAGTTCGCCCTTCGTCCGCAATTGCGCCCTCAATTTGGGTCGCACTGCCCGCCTACATTATGATCAGCTTCTACACATCGCAAGAAAGTAGCGTTTTACGTACAACTCCCATCATGAAGTCCTTTGGAAAGGTGTAGCATTCTCGAGGTGCGAGATATTCGGGTGGAGGGAGGATGAGCTCGCTAGTAGGAATTGTTGTAGGTTCTACTGTAGTCGAGTAGATGCCGCGCGTGAAGTTAGTCCACGACACTGTGGTCCAGAGAGCTGTCCACGAAGCGTTGCCATATGGCACTCCGGTGTCTGTAGCTGTTGCATTCGAAGAGGGGTCCCAATTGCCCCATTGCGTCGTTGTCAGACTGGGTACGAGGCTACTCAATGATGCGTAGGGGGGTGCATATGTCGTGGTAATCGTCGGCGCTGGCCGAGAGGTTGCCGTTCGAACTGTCTCAGTTTGCGTGAAGCTGAACTCGCGGAATGAGTACATCGGGGTGGCTGTCGCATAGCTCCTATTCGCAGCGCATTGAGGCCGTGACGATGGTCCATTGACTGGGATGTAGACCTGCTGAGCAACGGCAACGCTGCCAGCAACAAGCACAGACACAAGCTTCATGGTGGCGGATACTGTATTGGCAATTGCTTGTAAGCCTGATGCCCATTCATCTTATAGATTTTACAATGCCGGGATTTGCAGGAAATGTAATTATTCGGTACATCTTACCACGATGCTGTTAAGTCAGTCAGGAACTGGTTAAGCGCTTGTCGTATAGCTCTAAAGATACCTAAGGGTACGATAGGTTTGTGGGGATGTAGTGCGGGGAAGAACTTCTGACAACGCGGGTCGGCTATTGTGAGCGGCTCCGGCCTGTGAGAATTTGATGATCCTCATCTTCACGGTAATACTTTGGTCAGACGATGTGCAAAGACTGCTATTTAAGCGGGGCCGACGTAGCATTAGTCTCCGCTGGATGTAACGACGCCCGACGACCGCGTATAACGATAACCGGATGTCGAAGTGCGCGGCCTTCAAGAACCTGCTATGTAATGTCCTCCTACACAGATCCTCCGGCTCATCACCGAAGACCGAGATCTCCAAGCCTGCTTCTTTGGGCTGTACCGCCACCGAGGATAGTACGCTGGGGTACTGCTAGTACCATTGTTGCTCGTAGCAAGGCCGCCGATGATGGTTCCTGAATCTTATCAGTGACAGTCTATCGAGTCCCCAAGACCACACACAATATCGGCACTCGCAGTGCCGATAGCGATGATTCACTTAGATCTTCAGACTGGAGCGGCTTCGAAGCTGTAGTGCGAATCCTCGGTAGCTTCAATGCTCAAACGGATCGGTAGCGCACACTACGGGGTGGGCAATGATACAACGTTGACCTCCAGTGCTGTATAGTTGCGCTTGTCAACTGCCTTCACGCGCCATCGCAGGTGTAATTTAAGATTGTCGTCGGTACCGAGATTGATGGTACTCAGATCCACATGTTGTGTCTAAGTTAGGAAGACGCTCATGCCAGCCAATGCATTCGCTTGCGTAGGCTGGGAAAAACAGATCTACGCTATAGTCGAGAGTCGTAGCGGTCTACTTGCGTGCGATGAAATCGAGATCAACTTCCGCTACTTTGTAGACGGCGTCAGCAGTCAGATTGACTCTCAAGGGCAAGATGCGCAGACTGTTTGGATGTTCTGGTGGCGAGATGGCGAACAGTGGTATCTCAGACGGCCTCCGGAACAGCAATTTCCTAGGCGGTGGTGAGCCCAGCGCAAAGTTGATTTTTTCACCTTCGTCAGCGAATGGTCCATTGCCCTTGATACGCACGTAGATTGGTCGTAGAGGCCCTGAATGCTTACCACGAGCCTGGTTGATGACTGGCCATTAACCTTTTCCCCAGTTCATGGGCATCAATGCAATTTCCTGACCATTGAGTAAATATCCTATGCAGGATCCCACCAATTAGCAAGTGTAAAAGCCCACCACGTCGGCGTTCTTGTTCGTCAAGAACGGATTCCCAGAATACCCTTCATACAATCCTCAGATGTCCTTAGATCGGGCAAGCGTTGCGGTATGATTTAGCTCAGTGCCACCTTCTCTGATCAAGAGATAGCAGTGGTTATCTTTCTTTTACATCTGAGGTTCTTCCGGGTTGCGATCTCCTGTCCTCTTGCACACGTTAAAGGGCTTAGTGGCTGTGCCTGTCTCGATATTAATAGCGTCTATAATGATCTTTTCATAGTCATCCTAGAAGATGTACGGGTCAATGTCACTCACAGTGTTCTCGGTCACGATGGAGTTGCTCTAATCGTCTTCAAGAGGGTTCTCTGTAGTGGAAAGGAGGACCTTAGGAGCCTAATCATTCCACTGAATGTATGATGTGATTAGGTAGAAAGTCCTATCTCGGTAGTGGACTGTCGCTGCCCAAACACTTTCTATATGCTGACCTGGGTTGAGCAGTTCTATCAGCTGGCTCAGACGAGTAAGGGCATAACTGACGAGCCTCCAATTGGTACTGTAGCGACGTCAGCACAAGTTTTTAACAGTTAGAATCACCCTGCAGATATTTATTCGCATATATTGACACTCCAAGAAATATCAGAGAAGAGAATGTCGTGCAGAAGAAGCTATTGCCGAACTCCCTTGACAAACGTGCAGCTTGGGTCTGAGTTCCGTCCCGGCAAAATCTGGTTTCTTTAGGTACCGTGTTAGGTCAACCAACGCCCGCTATTTACCCGCAAAATCTGCCTTTTTTCTAAGACTTTACCTAAGAATAACAACTTCTTAATAAAAAGAGATATAAAAAAACTCCTAATACTACATATTTACTGCTTTACAAGCTTTATGACCTCTATATAGAAACCTTTTTAAAAAATCCTTACTTAAGATTTTTAGGTCTAAAGTAACGTACTCCACAAGCATGCCGGTCACCCAAGTGTACCGGTCACTTTTGCCAAGACCACACCAACACTATAACTACTTTGCAGTACTATAGTACACAGCAGCATTCTACTATGCTACACAGTATATTGTACTAATCTATAGTACTTTACGCATCTTTCTTACAAGTTATTCTGTTGTGCCCTGTCTTACCACATGCGCCACAGCGCCTTAAAGACTAAGTGCTCCTATTAACGCATAACCTCTTCTTTGCCTTCTTCCTATCACTACAGGCCTTAAACTCCTTTAGAGTAGTTAGCAATACTCCCTTAGCAAAGGTTAGAGTCCCTTCTTGCTGCACTTGCTTCCTTTTGTGTGATTTACAACGTGTAGCGGCCTTATTGGCTGCCTGTAGGTCAGCAACCTAGTTGCGCACTAAAACTAGTAAATGCGCCATTAGCTCTGCGCCTTTAGTAAGCTAATTAAGAGTGTTAACTATAGATATTAGTAAGCTATTAGCGTGTCTCTAAATCCTCTCTTAAATTAGCTTTAATTAAGACCTAAATTCTAGGGTGTTGCTTAGTATTTTAGACTCCTACGTACTATTGTCTATAGTAGGTAGTATTAGCGTGCGCAGCTGTACTTTAAGCTTTAATAGCACAGCCTCTAGGTTAATTAGGACTAGGCTAGCACCTCTAAATCCTCCCTAGATGTTACTCTCTGTAATTAAGGCGTTAAAAGCTGCTTTAAAGCATAGCAAGAACTCAAGTTTAGTAATACGTGTAATCTTGCTGCGCATTAGCTGCTTAGCTTGGCGGCTATAGGCCTTCTTTAATAGAGAAAAACAGCCTACGTTAAGTGGCTGTAGTAGGTGCGACAAGTGTAGAGGCATACACAGGGTAATAATCTTATATTCCTCGCAGTACTGGTGGAATTTAATTAAGTTATAGCTCTTGTGGCTGTCTAGAATAAGCAGCTAATAGCTACTAACAGTGCGCGCCTTTATGTGCTTATTAAAGTGCTTTAACTACTTTACTCTAAGCTTGTTATTAGTCTAGCTATTATTAGAGATATTAAGAATCTAGTTGTTAGGTATACTAGGCTCCTTATACTAGGTAGAGAGGTGGTGCTTGCTAGAGAAGATAATAAAGGGTAGGATAGACTAGCCCTTTGCGTAGATGCCTTAGATGATGCTAGTCTACTCTTAGTTGCCCTGCTGCACTGCCTTTAGTCTCCCTCAACGCTTAGAGCCTGTAACAACAGCTCCTATTAATATAACGCCTATTATAAAGCTAGATTTATTAAAGTTGTAGGTGTCTTTATCTTGTATACTATACTTAGCTTTAGTATTCTCTACTAGTTAGAACTAGTCCCTAATTACCTTAGGATCCTTACACAGAGCTATCTTATAGTTATACTTATAATTAAATTTAACTTTAAGCTCTAGCTAATGTTTAACAAAGTTAGCAGCCTAGTTCTTGCTAATGTAGGGCTAGTGGCGCTCAGCAAGTAGAGAATTAGCTATATCCTCGACATCAGCAAGCCAGGGCGAGTATCCTTGCTCGTCTAGCCTCAACACGTGCTGGACAATTACCTCCTCTTTATTCTTTGTAAGATTTATAGTATTAGGTGTGTAGTCGCAGCGTGGGGTGGCTCTAGCAAGTTAGTCACTAAGCGTGCTTTGAGAGACGTTGTAGATTGCTGCAGCGCGTTGCTGAGAGAGCGTCGCGTCTTGTTGGATAGCCTGGAGAGCAAGCTGTATGTCTGCTTCATTAGAGAGCTTTTTCATGTTGCTGCGTTAAGGCATTGTTAGTAGAGTGAAGTTTGGTGTAGTCTTGGCAAAAGTGACCGGTACACTTGGGTGACCGGCATGCTTGTGGAGTACGTTAGTAAAAGTAAGGTTGATAAAATTTTCTAAAACTTTTATACATTAACGTACCTCACGGGCAAGTCGGACAACGGGCGAGTTGGACACTTTTGCCAAGCCCCTACTAAACCCCCCTTCCTACACTAATGTCTCCTTAACAACACTAATTAGACGTGTCAAAGGAAGCTTAGATACAGCTTGCGCTCTAGGCTCTTAAACAAGACGCGACTCTATCCCTGCAACGCGCTGCTGCTATTTACAGGGTTCTTTGAAGCACACTAAGCGACCAACGCGCTAGACAACCTTCACAAGCTAATTCTATGGCTAACTTGCAGAAGCTGGATAACAACAAGGAGAGGGTGATTGTTAAACATGTTCTTAAGCTAGTTGCCTAAGGATTTCCCCCTTAGCTCTTAACGTACCTCACGGGCTAGGCTGGCGGATGGGTAGGGTATGCTTTTTTACGTTTTAGCTTAACGTACCTCACGGGCTTGTGGATCACCCGGGCTCGTGGATCACTTTTGCCAAGCCCCCACCAAAACCACCCCATTCTGGCGCAAAATAGCCCACTTTGGCCCTGTATAGTACAAAGCAAGATGCAATATCATTCAGAGTCTACTTCTACTACCTTCTAGCAGGTACGCGCATTATGCCCAGTCTCTTTGCACTGTGTACACCATTGTTGAGATAGTTCACCTACTTCAGCGCGCACCCGCCTCTTTAGCTTCTTCCCATTACTACGCGCCCCAAAGTCCTTAAGAGCAGCTAAACAAGCCCCATCCTCAACTGTTAAGGTCCCCTCTGCTTAAACCTGCTTTCTTTTGTGCAATCTACGTCGCGTAGCAGCCTTATTTGCTGCTTGAAGCTCTGCAATCTCCTTTTGCGCCAACACTAGCTTGTGCGCGATAATTACTGCTCCCTTTAAGACCTTCTTAAAAGCCTCTACTATAGACGTTGGTGAGCTATCTACATGCCTCTGAATCCTTGCCTTCACAAGCGTTAATTGCAATCCTAATTTAAGGGTATTGCTTAGGGTTTGCAACTGCCAGGGCTTATTACTAGGGAGTAGTAGTAATAGAGTACGTAGCTGGACATCAAGCGCTATTATAACCTGTTCTAGGTTAAATAGGACTAATCCAGCGCCTCAAAACCCTCCTTAGATATTACTAGGAGTAATTACTGCATTATAGGCGCGTATAAAGCATGGTAAGAACTCAAGCTTTGTGATGTAGGTAATCTAGTTGCGCATGAGATTCTCAGCTTGGCGGCCATACGCTGTCTTCAAAGGCGAGAAACACCCCACATCAAGAGGCTGCAGGAGGTGTGATGAGTGTAGAGGCATGCAGATAGTGATAATCTTGTTCTCCTTGCAGTATTCCTAGAAAGCGAGCAAGTCATGGCTCTCATAGCCGTCAATTGCGAGCAGTTAGTAGCTGCTAACTACTCTCTTCTTTGTATGCTTATTAAAGTGCTTTAACCACTGCAGGCTAAGCTTATTTGTTGTCCAGCTGTTCTTAGATACTGCGATAACCTAATTGTGAGGTAGATCCCCCTCCTTGTACCAGGCAGAGAGGTGATGGCGGCCCTTAAAGATAATGAAGGGTGGAATAGCCCACCCTGTCGCGTTAATGCCCTAGATGACTGTTGTCCACTCTCTGTTGCCTTGCTACACTACCTTTAGCCGTCCTCGTCTCTCTAAAGCTGTAACAACTAAACTAGTAGATATCTAGCCTATTATGAAGCTAGCCTTGTTAAAGTTGAACGTATCTTCATCCAGGATGCTATACTTAGCTTTAATGTTGGCTGCTAGGCTAAACTAGCCTTATATAATCTTAGGATCCTCGCAGAGGGCTCTCTTGTAGTCGTATTTGCGATTAAACTTTGTTGTGAGCTCAGGGCGGCCTTTGACAAACGTACTGG